TCAAGAAGGATGCTAACAAATTGGAACAAGTTCAGAGGAGGGCGACAAGGATGATCAGGGGGCTGGAAACCAAGCCTTGTGAGGAAAGGCTGAAAGAATTGGGCATGTTTAGCCTTGAGAATAGACGGCTGGGCTGTGTGTGTGATATAATACTTTTCAAATATTTGAAGGCTGTCATACAGAGGAGGGGCAGGATCTGTTCTTTAGCAACCTAGAGTGGACATACAACAATGGGCTCAAGTTAAAGGAAGACAGATTTCAGTTGAATAACAGGAAAAACTTCTTAACTGTTAGAGGAGTATGACAGTGGAATCAGTTACTGTATTTTCCGTGCATAAGACAGCCCCATGTATAAGATGCCCCCCACTTTTCTAACCCAAAATTAAGAAATCTAAGTGGGGCTTAGCAAGTGTAGGGGGGAAGGGATCAAAGCACTCCAGGATTGCTTTGATCCCTGCTTTGTCCTTTCATGCTAAGCCCTGCGGGGCTTAACAAAAGGAGGGGGAAAGGGATCAAAGCACCCCTGCCACTGCACAATCATTTTGATCCCTTTTCCCTTTATATAGCCATGGGATTGCATTGATCCTTTCCCCCTTCCTTTTGCTAAGCCCCATGGGACTTAGTAAGCAGAGATCAAAGCCATCCTGCAGCCCTTTGATCCCTGCTTTCCTTTTGCTAAGGCTGAGTAAGTGGAGAGGAAAGCAGGGATCAAAGCCCTGCAGGATCACTTTGATCCCTGCTTTCCCCTCCACTTGTGTTTGTTCTCTCCTCAACTTACTTCCATGTATAAGATGACCCTCAATTTTAGTCTAAAGATTTTGGACAAAAGTATAGTCTAATGCGCGGAAAAATACGGTACTTCAGGAGTTGGTGACTGCTCCAACACTGGAGGCATTCAAGAAAAACTTAGATAATCATCTGGCAGATGTGATTTGATTGTATTCCTACCTTGAGCTGGGGGTTGGATTTGTAGGCCCCTTCCAGCTTCACTTTTCTATGATTATACAATTCACTCACAGAAGTTAAAGACTGAGGTTATGCATGGTGGCGGGGAATGCTCTGTTATGGCTCTTATTCCCTTGTGGCTGCAATTCTACCTCTTAGTCCTGACAGTTTATGAAAGCTCGTGGTCTTTAGTTATGTTTTTTTCCTCATGTGGAAAACGTGCAGAAGTGATTAAGGCTTGAATTTGTGGTTTTCCAACACTCCCCCTCCATGTGCAGGGCTACCTTTCAATAGAGTGGTGTCTGATCTGGAAAAAAAATTTCCAGGGAAATGTTGAGCTGCACATTGTGATGACTAGATATATGACTTGCCTCTCTTAAAGGAGCAAGTCATGTAGAAATACTATGAGGTATTACTAACTTATAGCCTTATAATATTATATATTACTTTCCTCTTTAAGAGAAGGGCTGAAATGACAGCTTCATCTCCTTTAAGAGTGGTTGTGGTTTCCTTAGAGATCTAACTGTTTGGAGAAATGGGTGTGTCCAAATTTTGTTGCTGTTGACTGCTGGATTTCTTTATTTATATGGTGACTTTTTTGGGGGAAAAATCTTGAGTTGTTTTGTAAAGGCAGAAAAATGATATTTATGTGTTCTTTCCTTTACAAAGCAGGGCAGCTCCCCGAAGAAAAACTTATTTCAGTTTAAATGAAAAAAAGATGTCATTGAAGCAGTACCCTTTTTAAGGCGATTATATCAACCCTATTTTCTCAAAACAGGAGAACATTGGCATACCCTTTGTATATTTTAACTTTCATTCATGTAAACTTGACAACATACTCCCACTAGCCATCCCACTCACTATATAGCATATAGTTAATGGAATGGAAGAACTGAACTACATTTTCTTAATGTCAGCATCTATAAACAGCAGATTTGCAATAAAACCTTATCTACCATTACATTTTTTTCTTAGCCCAGGCCAGTTCATTGGTATTTGGGTGAAGAAAGTCTCACTGTGTTTAATGGGCTTATTCCTAGCTAAGCAAAGGATTACAACTCCTCTGGGATTTAAAAGATGGAGCTCACCTCTTGTGTTTACCTGGAGTAGAGGTTAAGGCAGAAGTAGGGATCTAAATGATACTCACAAAATTATTCAGTCCTTTCAGTTTTGTTCAGCTTGGCAAAATATGTGGTTAAAGAATTTTCAAGTCTCAGAAGATCCCTCTAGAACAAGACAGGGCGCTATTTTATCTTGTCATAGTCTTCATGACTTGTGTGAAATCTTTCTGCATAATAATTGTGTCCTTTCCAATTGAGGACCAGAGCACATACACAAAGCAAGCACAACAAGACTGACTGATTGATTAAAGTACAAGCACATTTTCGTACTTTTGGAGGAACAGCTTCAATGAAAACTTTTTTTAGGATTAAATCAAGGATGTTTGTCTTTGGGGAATTTTAAGAAACCATGCCTTGCACCATTATGTCTTTTCAGTGGAAGTGGATAAGCCACTTGTGGCTTGCATTGATGGTGTTTGAAATAAGCCTCGGACATTGCTTATTCCCAAGCCACTCTGAATTCAGTCTAGTCTAAACTGTCCGTATCCCACCTGCCTTCCCAAACTCCATTTCCTCTGTAGTGCCTAGCTGTGTACCAGGAGGCACACATTTTCTGAGAACTAGCAGTACTGCCCTAGGCTTGAGAATATAATAACTTTTCCCTCCTGATGCTAGGGCTTTGGAAGGGATCAGGAAGTGGGTTGAAATGACAAGATAGTACTGTTCTCAGAATTTCCTGCTAGACACCAGCTGTGCAGCCAGGAAAAGTAGGTGGAAAGGGAAGGATGGAGTGGGCTTGGGGGACTGGGAAGTGCAAAAAAGAAGAGGGGGGTTAAGGGAGGGGGAGGAAAATTCTTCTTCAGCTGGAAGAAGGGGTGGGCTGGTCCTTTTTTCATGGACCTTCTTTCAGGTGAAAATTATCCACCCCTCACAATACCATCATAGGGATGAAAGTTTTGCTTGCATTTTATGGGCATATGAATCATCCTGGATAGTTTCAGCCCTTGTTTATGTTGGGAAGGATAAAAGCAGACAATGGTAAGCTTCAATGGTACACCAATGACATGACTCAAAAAAAAAAAGGAAAGGAAAGAAAGAAAGGAGTTTGGACTGCCCCCTGCCCAATAAAATGCCATATGTAAAGTTGTACAGACAATATGCAACCACCTAGTCCACTCCAAAATGTCATGTGTGTTCTTCATTTTGCAGCGGCCGAGGGGATGGTGTGCAGCCCTTTATGCTCAAAAAATGGATGCTGGGGTCCTGGGCCAGACCAGTGCTTGTCCTGTAAGCACTTCATCAGGGGAAGGACCTGTGTCAAGTCCTGTAACCTTTATGATGGGTAAGGTGTTTTTTATTTGCAAACCACTTAGCGGGTGCTTCCCTCATTATTTTGAAACTTGATGGCATATTATTAGGATCAGGTTCACATAGGAGCTGATGAATGTACCCATATTCCTCATTTTCTGTTCCCAAAGCAATGTGCTGTTGCAAGGCGCTACCCCACAGCCCCTGTGCTTGCGCATCACGTGGTAGCCTGGTATGACATTCGACTTTGAATGAAAAGCTGATGAAAAGTAGGGTGATTTGGAGACATGATTGCTTGATTAAAGGAATAGAAAGGGCTTTCAATGGCAGAGACTGATGTGCCTGGCATGAAGCAAAAGAACTGGTCAGTCTTTTGAAAGGAAACTGATGACCAATAATCTTGAGCAATGTGAAACTGCTTGCCAGGTTTGTCTGGCGCGCTGATAAGCAGAGCATAATTGGACATAGTTGGATGCTTCTTTAAATATGAAAGTGTGATCAACAGGAGCAAAATGTACATGACCCAAAAGCCCCAAATCTAGAGTCCTTGGGTTGAAGGTATTTCTCAAGGTCATCTAGTCCAACCCTCTAATCCTTGCAGTATCTGCTGTGTAGGATGCAAGTCCAGCACCTCTGCCCCATGGCCATCCAGCTGGGTAGCGTGATAATGGAAAGGGAGCTCACTGTCAGAGCCCTTTTCTCTGATATCCATGTCAGACCTCCCTTTGTCTTGTCACTTGACTATTGAGCTAATGATCTCTTTATGGCTATTTAAATAAACAGGTTTTATTTAACAGTCTTCATCTATTTCCTCGCTTCTACCAACCTTAAGTTGACCTTATGTGTGTATCTTTCTCTCTTCACTCAGGCCCTTATAACACCATTCACATAGCCAGTCCTCAGGTATTGAGCCCAGCACCACCCAGCTTGAATAGAATCCATAAGGTTTTACTAAAATAACAGTGTTAAAAAAGAATGTTTTTTATTCCTTGGTTTTTAAATTCATTCAGCATAGTCCTTTGCTTTGTTACCTCTCTGCCCAGGCTATCTCTCAGAATACTCTCTTTGATTTCTTCCCAAGACCCCCAGACTTCAAAACCACCCTCTCACCAATCTCTTCATGCCAGACTACTTTCTGTCTGATTCAAGACTGCCTCACAAATGCACTTGGCTTCTTTATCTAGTTTTTCCCAGGCAATCAGAAACATTCTTACCAAGATTCCATGCTCCTCACTCACCCTTCACTCACATACTCACCAACCCATATAAACAATACATTTAGAAATAAGTGGACATCTCACTCACTGCATCCAGAAGGGGTCTGTTCAATGGATGAACTTTTACCATTAGACAATTTCTTCTGATGTTAACCAATTCCTTCCCCCAACTCTCTGACTAGCCTCAGGTTTCTGTACCTAAGACTCAGAAAATCACTAAGAACAATATATTTTGAGACAATATGTCTTCTTTTTCACATTCCTTAATTGATGTGGACTTTGTAGTAAAAGATGCTTCAGTGCACTGAGTGAGAAGTGTTGAATGTCAATGAATGTCATTTCTGTGTGATAAGACATTTTAGTATTGGCTGAAAACTTGCTGCTTAACATAGTAAGGTGCAAGTGGAGTAAGCCCATTGTCCCAGCTCCTGCCAACCTAGCAGTTCGAAAGCATGTAAAATGCGAGTAGATGAATAGGTACCACTACAGTGGGAAGGTAACGGTGTTCTGTGTCTAGTCATGCTGGCCATATGACCACAGATACTGTCTATGGACAAATGCTGGCTCTATAGCTCGGAAACGGGGATAAGCACCGCCCCCTAGAGTCGGACACGACTGGACAAATTGTCAAGGGGAACCTTTACCTTTACCTTACAAGCTGTACTGCTGGAAATCAATTTGGACTGATTTGCTCAAATTGCTTTATTTTCTGCAAAATTGCAAAATTTGTATATGTCACAAATGTTGCATAAAGCTGCAAAGACTGCTGCTTTCTTGTTGTGACCTTAAGAATTTGAAGTATTGAATGAGTTGTTTGTGTATTTCTTGACAACCACTCAAGTCTTTCTGTGCTTACTCTTTATGTGTGCTTTTCTTCTCAAGGAAAAAAAGGCATTTGTTTTGAGCAGGTGAATTTCACATAAATAATGTGATTCCGAAGGAAGATGACCACTTTTAGTAGCTTAAACCCATTTAGTCAATTCGGGCACTGCATATCTCAAGTTATGCTGCCTACAATCCCATCCTGCTCATCTCCCACCTTCATACTCATGGGGAGCACAGACGAAGATGGAGTGAGCAATGAATAGCTGCAGGTTGTCATCTCGCTATCTGCTGTCTTTGGCCCCACCATCCACAATAGGCACCAGCTGCTGTTGGCTCCTTGCTTTGCTCTTTGGTCGGTTCTGGGGCTTTCTAATACCTCACAGAGGAGTCTCTAAGAGTTAACCTACCTAAATTGATGAGGGCAATTATAGCTGCTCTGCATGCAGGCATAAATGAAGTCAGTTGTTTTGCTGCAAGGTAGTAGAGTGCTTCTTGATAGCATAGGATCCACACACACTTCACTATAAATAGCTCCATATATGCCCCACAGGAATATAAAACAGTAGTGTAGAGCTTCACTCTAAAAATTGCTCTGATTTTATTAGATCTAAAGTACACATGGTATTGTCAGATAGTCATCCAAGCCCTCAGCCATAGCTCAGACACCATGCTGTGGATGCTTGCTATATACTACTTTTTCCTCTTTGCTCAGGCTGTTAATTGTTGTGACCTTGGCTAATTTTGGCCAGTCTCAGCTGGGACTGACACTTTGTGTTCTGGCTAACTCAGAATCAACTGAGGTCAACTGGGTTCTTCATAATTAAGTTCCCAGGTTGATAAGCTTTTAGGAGTGCTGTATGAATGCCTCATTCAGCAGGTCTTGTTGCCAGTCTCTGTCCAGGTCAACTTGCCTCAGCTTGAGTGAAAATTGTGTTTTAAAGGTGTAGACATAAAATATCTATGTATTGATTAGATATTTATTCAGTTTTATGGATTGGATGTTTTTAAATATATGATAAGCAATTGTTTATTCCTTCCTAATCCACCAATTCATGAAGTTTGCCAGTATTACATTAGAGCTGTTGCTTGGGGGAGGGGATCCCTTTCATGCCTTTGAGTATGAATGTACGTATGTATTTATAGTATTTTTACTCCACCTTTCCCCCCAAAAAAGGACCCAAGGCAGCTTACATTATTAAAATACAGTTTTCAAAGCTAACAACAGTTAGTATATAAATACTGAAAAGGATCAAATGAATACCATACTAAAAGCATAAGCAACACAAATTCAAAGCAGTACAACAATCCATTTGAAAAGCCCATTCAAGCAGTCAATCACATGTGGAAAGACAGCAAAGATGGGCCCAGCCTGGCCTCCTGTGGGAGGGAGATTCGAAAGTCTGGGAGCAGCAACAGAGAAGGCCCTCTCCCGTGTCCTATCAGACACACTTGTGGAAGGTGGCAAGACAGAGAGAAAGGCCTCTCTGCTTGAACAGGCTCATAAAGGGAGATGTGGCATTTGAGATAGTTTGGACCCAAGCCATTTAGGGTTTTATACTGTAGGTTAGAACCAGCACTTTGAATTCTGCCCAGAGAGATCAGCAGCCAGTGGAGCTACTGTAACGGCGGGGTTGGTGGTAGTGGTGGTTATGTGATCCCTGTGATGAGCCCCAGTTAGCAGTCTGAGAGTTTGAGGTTGACAGGATCTCCTGTGTTGGGAACTTTTCTTCTTTCAAGAATCATTAATAGACCCTTGGAAGATATTTTATTATCATTTTATTATCACATTAGGGAGCATTGGTCTAGTTATATCAGTAATGTGGTGGCAGGGTGGTGCTCCCTTCTTGTCCAGGTGCATTATGAGGACTGACAATGGAACCACCACGGCCGTCACAATGTTGGACCAGTTCTTCAGCAATGGAGGGATATCCGATCTTGTGTTCCCATTCCTGCCCCATTCCAAGCAGACTAATATTAGGGCTTCATTTTCCCTTCATGAAGCTATAACTGGCTGTATGTTAAGCCCTGTGATGTTACTCACAATGTGATCCCTGGTGGGCACATAAGCGGAACACTTACTCCCACCCAGTTCTACGCGTGTCACTCGCACGAGTCAGGAGGTGAGACTGAGGAGCCTGACGCCGAGGGAGGCCGGGAAGGAAAAAACAAGAAACCGGGCCTTCTCGGCGGTGGCTCCTCGCCTCTGGAACAACTTACCTCTGGAGATTCGCGTGGCTCCCTTGCTGGGTATTTTTAAAAAACAACTGAAAACTTGGATGTTTAGGCAGGCCTTCCCCCCTCCCACTTAATTCCTAATTTTTCTTCCCTTCTTATTTGTTACAATTTTTTTTGTTTTTCTTGCCATCTTGGAGAATTTTTTTCTAATTATATAAATTATATATTCATTTTATGTTGTAAGCCGCCTAGAGTGGTCACAATGACCAGATAGGTGGAGTATAAATGGAATAAATAAATAAATAAGTTAATAAGTAAATGAGAATAAAACTCTAAGAAAACAGGTGGGAATTGAGTTGCAGGTGTAACTGGCCAAAATGGAAGCATGGACACACACACACACAGAAATATTTTAAGAGAAAAGGAGAGAAGAATATTGAGTAACTTTTAAATCTGTCAGAGTTACACTTTCTGTCAGGTTCAAAATGTTAATCATGGATGAACATTTAATGAATGGATACTTTAAATTAATTGAGTCTGTGGGTCCTCATTATAAGAGACACCCTCCATCATGGAACATATCCTCTACTTCAAATTGATCTTGGAAAATGTGTTTAACTTAAGTAGTCAGTATGCTTCAATTAAGCTTGTGCAGAACTGTTTTTGACATGAGGACTGAAAAGGAGAGGCTCAATCCAGAGGATGTATGAAAGAAGCCCAAATTACCCATTAGCATCTAGTAATCATAGTCAATTTCCCTGAACGATTTTTTACCCTTTCAAAATCTATAGTTGGAAAAAAGAGAGTCTTTTTACAAAATCGTCCTAGGTATAATTGTCCTTCTTGGTACTGATGTTCTTCTTTGCTATGACCTCCCCCTCCCCGGCTATAACATGCTAGCCAAACCCTAATGTTTTCCCTGCTTTGCCAGGCCATGGGGGTTGGGGAGGAGGGAGGGGGGATGGGCAGACCATTCATCCCTGTAATAGTGCTTACGAAGTCTTAAGCTTGCCTTTCTCTTTATATTTCTTTCTGCACAAGGATGTGGAGCACTTGCATTTTGTAATACTGTATATTTTTAACGTTGCACAAGATTGAAGAAGCTCTATAAAGTAACTCTTTGTTGATACCCAAGGTGACTCTACTGATCTGGCACTGGGGTCAAATACACACCCAAGAAAGCCACACAAATAAAATATCCGATAGAAGTTACTGAGCATGAAATCATTCCTAAATAACCCTCCCCCCCCCAAATGCCCCATCCTTTGTTGAAATCTTCTCTTTTCCGTTATAACGCCACAGTGTTATAAAATCTGTCCCACATAAATATAACATAACCATGATAGCCGGACCAATAATTATAAGTTGAGAGTTATGGGTAATAAAAAATAAAAGAAACCTTGCAACCTTTGCAAATGCCTTCTTGAGTAGCCTATGCACAATGACATTTCAGAAGTGTAAGAATGGGACAGAAAATATGGGCTACCCAAAGCACTCCGTTCCCACTTGATACCTGCTTCCTTTGTCATTACATTAACCTCAAGGATGACACTTGCCCTTTCATTTTGTATCAGGAGTGGTGAGCTGTTATCAGTTCTGAAGCCATCCTGTTCATTGTCCCAGGCAAGGCACCTATGCCCATAGGTTTAACCCGGGGTTTGATCAGCCCTAAACCAGACTTGCCAGGAAGTGACATCTTTTTGTAACTTTGCACCATCATAGGTTTTTCAGTTTCCAGAAGTGAGGGACAAATCCGGCTGCTTTGCTTTTTTTTTTCTCATATAATTTTGTGTAAAACAAAAAAATCTTTCTACTGTCTTTATGAAGACTTTTATAGAATGTACGTTCTTGTTTAAAATGAAATTAATAATATCCACAGCCATCTGTCATGGCCAAATTCAATAACTGCCGGTATTCACAGCATGGAGAAGATGGTGTTGTACCTGCTCATCATGTAGCTGTTAATTATCAGAAGCCTGTCAGTAAAAGAGATGGCAGCCCTAATTGTGCAACGTATCTGAATGCTTTGGAATTCAAAGGTGAATTTGTAAAGCCCTCCGCCTAGGTAGACAAATTTATCACTTTTATTTTCTCTCACATTTTTTTCAGTCTTTATGCCACATTTATGGAAACATGTGAAGTTTTCACAGTGCTTGTGGAGAAAGAAAGCAAATTCTCACCAATCCTCAGTTCACCAAACATATAGACACTGCAACTATGTATGCACATATACATGTGCTATCTGCTATAACAGTTAACTGCTCCAGTGATGAATTCCTTGTTATTGGGGATACCCTGGGTGCTCAACAGGGCTACTGGAACTTCTCTACTTGACTTGGAACATTGGATTTAAAATAACTTGGAATTGGGGAATTAACTCATTACTTTTAACACTGAAAAATGATAATATTTAACTTAATTAATTCATTAAGCAATTATCATGTTAATTTTGTGCTCTCTGGAGAGGTTTTATGTTACGCCGTAGTCCAACTTTCCACAGGAGAAAGGCCTATAGGTGTATCTCTCTTTCAAAGCAAGATTGATAGCAGCTGATTCAGTCTAATAAGTTTGTTTGAAATTTAGAATACCAATAAGCTTCATTTAGCACAGGAAATGGTCCATGACATTTCTCAAGGCTTCTGGGAATTACAGTTTAAGACTAACAGGATCCTCAGTGTTGGGAACAATTCTTCTTTCAAGAATCCATTGACGAGTTCCGGTTATATTTCTTCAGTATAGCACTATGGGAGGTTTTTGAAGTTTGATCATATTTGATGGCATGTTGGATAGAGGTTTCTGAAATAAGGAGCCTTTTTAGCAGAACAGCCATGTTCACACACACCCCCAAATGAATCTGTCTAAAGACTGCAGCAACAGTCTGTCTGTTCTTTTCTATAGGGAATACAGGGAGTTCGCCAATGGTTCTATCTGCGTGGAATGTGACCCTCAGTGTGAGAAGATGGATAACAGCAGGATCACATGTACTGGACCAGTGAGTACAACCAAGACACAGTAAGATTACAACATAAGAGATAGATGCTTGTGCATACTTTATCTCTAGCTTTCAAGATACACTTCCAACAATCAGTCCAAATTACTAATTGGTAGGCATAGCATGCTCACTGTATTATTCAAAGTCAATTAGTTAGTTAGTTTTGGTAAATGAGAACAAGTGTTCTAGTGATCATTCTGAACAGCCCACAAAGAAACAAATATAATCAACTTAAGCTTCTTGAATAGCTAGGATGGGGTGTCTCGGAAGAGGATATGCTTGTTGATGCTGGATTTTTTTCCCCACACACAGTGGATTCATCCACTAGAAATAAATTGAGTGTGATACATATTGATTAGGGAGGAGAAGCCAGGGAAAAACTGACTTTTTCCCTCTCACAGCAAGATTTCTCTATGTGTGTATTTTCCCTCGGGAAAAAAATCATATGGAGAATCTTGCAGGATTCTCAGAAATTGTGGGGTCATTGTTTTCTGGAAGAAATGCCATGTTCCACAGGATTATTACTATTTATTTATTTATTTATTCTATTTATATCTCGCCTATCTGGTCAATTCCTATGCAGAGTGGCAATGTTCCTGCACAGGATTCACCAGAAAGGCCATTAAGCTGCACAGAAAATGGCAGTATCCAATGTAGGACAACAGGTGAAAGATAAAAACATAAAAAAGCTGTGAAGTTCAGTGGGTATCTTTGATCACTAATTTGGTACCTAACTTGCTTCACAGGGTAGTGGCAAGGGTAAAATTAATGCAGAGTGGTGTTTGCCACTCCTGAAGGAGAGGCAGGAAAAGACTATATATTTTAATACATACATACATACATACTATATGTATATACATACATACACATATATTACAACGGTACAGAAGGACAATGGGGAGGGTAAGATGTGACTCTCACTTTATGGGACATCTACTAGTCTGCTAGTATTTTACATATATTACAACAGTACAGAAGGACAATGGGGAGGGTAAGATGTGACTCTCACTTTATGGGACATCTACTAGTCTGCTAGTATTTCTGAATGTGATACCTTACATCACTATTCAGTATTTAAGCATTAAGAGACATAAACCAGAACTAGAGATTGGCATGACTCTGGCTGCTCTGCTCTGGTTGCCCATCCGTTTCTGTGTTGACTTCAAAGTGCTAATGATTACCTATAAAGCCCTAAACGGTTTGGAACTTCAATGGCAGATCGTCTTCTCCCACCCAGATCTACCCGAATCACCCGACATAGCCAGCAGGGACGGCTGAGGGGGGTCTGACGCCGAGGGAGGCCCAGAAGGAAAAAAACAAGAAACCGGGCCTTCTCGGCGGTGGCCCCTCGGCTGTGGAACACCCTCCCTACCAAAATTCGGCTGGCACCCTCGCTGGCTGTCTTCAAAAGCCAGCTGAAAACTTGGCTATTCAAGCAGGCCTTCCCTTCAGTCAATTAAGTGATTCTTATTTCTTTTTCTTTTGATTCATGCCATCTTGGGACTATTTGCTTCAAATCAATTGTTAAAATTGTAATTCTATGATTTT